TAAAAAAGGATCCACAAAAAAACAATCAGATACTTTATATTGTATTGTGTATACTGTTCCCACATGGCATCCGCAAAGTCTAATATTTATCTCTACGCACAGTAGATGCTGAATGTAAAATCTATGAGAGAGAGAGACTAATAGAACTATGTAGATAGTAGACGCTATTCATACAATTGATTGTTTTGTTGCTATGGCAAACAGTTTTGCTCAGATTTGCTAGAATGCTGGAGTTTTTAAAGCTGAACTCCAAATAACATCTTAACACAAAGTTGGAATACAAGTACTGTATGTGAGCTGCCTCATCTGCCAAACGATGTATAATGATGAAATTGTATGTACATAGGTGGAAAATAGGCTGCAAGTACGGACCCTGAGGGTAGTAATAAATGGGTTATTCGCTAATTGGGCAAAGGTTGGGAGTGGGCTCATTCCTTGGGACCAATCCTGATCATCTTATTCATCCACGACATACAGATTGGACTAAATAGCTGTTTTTTTCCGGATGATAATAAACTCTGCAGAGCAGTAAATTCCAAATAGGAGATATTCGCAGTACAACATGAACTAAGCAAAATTGAGGCATGGGCAACAAGATGACAAATGTGATTTAATGTTGAAAAATGTAAGGTTATGCAGATTGCGCAAACTACTACTTGGGGGTGTTACTTTAGGGACGTCAGACATAGAAAAAGACCTGGGGGTGCTCATAGACCACAGATTTGGCAATAGTAAGTAATGCCAAACAGCAGCCAGCAAAGCTAACAAGATACTGGTGTGTATTAAATGAGGGATTGTAGCAAGGGATCAAAGAGTAATACTTCCACTTTATAAATCATTGGTTCGGCCCCATCTTGAGTATGTGGTACAGTTCTGGTCACCGACTATCAGGAGAGACATCCTGGATCTGGAGAGAGTTCAGAGAAGGGCTACTGAATTAAAGGGATTAAAAGCCTGAGTTATGAAGACCTCATTAAAAATCTTATACTTATTCACCTTAGAAATGAGATTAAGAGGGGACCTTATTGCAGTCTTCAAAATCATCAATGGGGACCCCAATATTTAATCCCAAAACTGTATTGAGAACCCCGGGACACAATGAGGGAGGGGGGGTTACAAGCGAGAGGGTTCATTCTTAGGATACTTAGGGGGTATTTTACTGTGAGAGTAGTGAAAGTTTGGAATTCCCTACCACTTGCGGTGGTAACTGGTGATAACATTGATAAATTAAAGAAACTTCAGGATGAGCTTTTTCTTTCGCAGAATCTACAGGGATATGGGAGGTGTTAGAGCAAGATAAATATACACACACACACACATAGGTTGAACTGGATGGACCTTAGTTTTTATTCAATCTTACATACTATGTTACTATGTCATTGAGTTTATCTAGTCCTGTGATCCAGGCTCCCTGCCAGCACTTGGAGCTCTCTTCAGACCAGATTGTAGTTGAGCAATATAGTCTGGTCCAGGACACTCCCCACTTTGTGACTGGACAATAGAGAAGCAGCAGCTTCTATAATAGATATGAAAGAACTACAAGCAAAGTTGAATGTCCAACATTGGAGTTGTAGGCACACAGCACTTGACCCCAAATACAACAGCCCTCTGCCAGGACCACCTATTAAATGTAGGGTGCTGTATGGGGGTCAAAGTCTGTGTGTTTGCATTCTCCAGTGTTGGACATTCAGCCTTGCAGGTAGTTCTTTCAGCTTCCATGTTGATGATGATAGGGGAAAAATGTGAGCCTGACACCTACAAAGGTAAAAGCTGCCTCTTTAGCTTTGGCACTTATAGACACAGACCAAGTGATACATTTGGCCCTAAATACATGTATAAAATTGCATGAATCATTTTGCAGAAGACACCATCACCCTGCCCATGCATGTAATGTTGGAAATACAGCAGCACATACTGATATACTGATGCACTTTGTCTTTTGAGCTGTAGATGGCAGTGTAGTACAATGCTAGTCTATACAGTATGTGCATGCTTATCTATGATACACAGGAAGTTCTTCTTTCTTTCTGCTTTTTCTTCACAATGCTATATTCATATGTGTAATGTTCTTCTAAGCAAGTAAAACTTAATTCAGCATTTCTCAAGATGTCAGTGCTTCATCTAAACACATAACGAACATGTAAAGGGGATAAAGGGGTAGTTATTAGCAGTTTCACATAAAGCATACCCCCTAAATTTCTTAGATGAGAAAGAGGGACACCTTCCAGCACAATATATCTAGACAATGGACACACCCCTGCCATGTAACTAGTTATGCGGCCCATTAAAAATGTATATGCCAAAAATGATCAGTTAAACCCAGAATTGTTTTTTTTCCCACCATTTATTTTCCTTTTTACTGACTTTTCCCAATAGCAAACAAGATAATTAAGAGATATGATGAAGGATTTATTGCAGAACAAACTTTTGGTAGTTACATAGAACCTTTTATAGGTATCTGTACATCAGACCAAAAAGAGGGACAGCTGAGGAGGAAAGAGGGACAGTGGGATTTGGTTTCCAGTGAGGGACAGTTGGGAGGTATGGTAATCAGTTAAGTCAATGCTGCAGATAGCTGTCAGAGACTGAAGAAAAGAAACATGAGATGGGCAATTGGGGTTAACCCTTTAGTGATGTCAGAGGCCACACTTAAGGCCCCCTATATGAAGTCAGTTGACCGCCTCTGCTGTACTCTTGTTTGAAACTTACACTTTCGATTCTAAACTATTCTTTGTAAAAGCTGAGATACATAGTAATACATGAATACATTATCTATTTACAGTTGACTTCATAATCTCCTAATTATTCACAAGAATTAGACAATGACTGCGTATCATAAAACATACATGAGCATGCAAAGGGCAATTTAAATAATGTATATATTTTCATTCTCTAAGCCGCCTTTCTATAGATTTGTGGCATACTTTAATAGAAGCCCTGACAGGTGACTCATTTATTCTGTGTTTGCAGTCACAACATTATCATAGCGAGGAATAAACAAACTTGTATAATTCGCAGCAAGTTTAAGGGAACATTTATCTCCTGCGTGGCTGACACGCGTTCCCTCTCTATTGTCACATACGCCGTTGTTATGCAGAAAGCACCATTAACGAGATGCAGATGAGGCGATGGCGTCCCCTGTTCCTGCCTAATATCCATATCAAATACGAGCGGCTCACAAAATCTTTCACCTCCTGCAATAGATGATATGATTTGAGTGTATTATAACAATTGGTACAATGGAGCAGCTAGACTCAAAATAGATTCACTTAGGCATGACTACAATGATTTTTTTTATATGTTAATATGACTTATATAAAGTAAAACTTCACCCACAAATATGAGCAATGCATGTGCCATAAGAATTTGTCATAACTATGTCTTATTGGGCGCCCCGGGACCCCTGCACTTGGGGTGCTCTCTATGAAAGTTACGATTATTATTTGGAAAGACAGACCACCATCACTTCTCCCCAACAAAAGTACACATTCCTCTATTGGTCAGAGAACCACTATGGGGTCCATTTATAAAGCAGAGGTATGGCCATGTACAGGAAGCAGAAAGAGAGGATGGCACACAAGTTTCAGGAGGTTCAGGGGGTGCTCTATGGATTTTGGATGGAAATTAATACATTTAAATCAGATTAAAGTAAACTGAGTGAACTTTCCAACTTTAGCATAGTTGCAGTGTTTTGTGATAGGTATTAGTAGTTGACTGGTTTTACTTCTTGCTTGAAATAATTTTGAGGAATATCACACAAGGCTTCATTTTTGTAAGGCTTGAATCAATAAAAAAAAAAAATACTGCTTGCAGTGGATGGGGCTTTTACTGGAGGGAGTAATCTTCAAGGGGATGTATCCTATTGCATAGGTATTGGACAGGGGTAGGCAAACTCTGGCACTCCCCCTGTGGTGAAACTCCAAATCCAATGAGTCATTGCAAGACTCTGGCAGCCACAGGTATGTCTTCCAGGGACATATGCATGATGGGACCAAAGTTTGCCTACCCCTGGTATAGGATATATCTGCAGCTTTGAAAAATGTAAAAGGTCACATTACACACATCTGCCCTATAATTGTGGCAATGGTTTCTTCACAAGCCTAGGACATCTTCCCTACTCCTGGTTTCCAAATCATTCTTCTCAGGAGCCAGGAACTCTGGCTTTGGGTGTAATGTCTGCACACAGGTGGATGGAGGCATCTTTCCATTGCTGACATCTTTCCATCACATATACAATAAAAGATTAAATCATTGAGGGAGGACAGCTGTCATTGTAGAGAAGATATCAAAGGGGGTTGGCATGTAGGAGGGCGACTTTGAATCCTAACAAATCTATGAAATCATGGTTAAGCATGTAGAGGCAATTTATGCCAGCTTTATAGGACCGTGGTAATGGGTGGGTGGGGGCTGACTTGGTGGCACTGGTCAGCCATTGGGATAAACTGACAGCTAGGAATCTTTTCTTCAGTGTCCTTAAAATCTTGGAGCTTCTAGATCTACTGTACCTAACAGCCAGGAAGGTGGCATTTGTAAAAGGAGATGTTCTATTTTCCCTGAAATTAAGGATGATATGCTGTACACAGGCACACTGGACACAATACAGTATAGGTAACATTACTGGATGAATCAGTTACAGAGTCTGCCCGCTCTCTTTCTTTATAACATTATATTTATTGCAGTAGCACAGCTGCCAGCTGACCATTCTGGAAGACAATCCTGTCCCCTCTGTATACATGGAAATGTCTATTTTAGGTCTTTATGATGAGATTGGTGTTTCCTGGCCTCTGAGTGACTTATCTAGTTTAGTACTCAGAGGAACGGCCTGTATGCAGGTGAGGCGATTAAGGAAATCGAGAAGCGCCACTGGATAAGAGGCTGTTCTACATTACCATCTCATCGGGGACAAGGAGGCCAGATGTTGAAGATGAATCGTCCCAGCTACATACAAGTCCTCTCTATTAATAGAAAATAGAGCACCGTTCTGATCAGCTGACCCTCACAGTCTGTCAGCTTGTTAAGAAATCATCAGAAAAATAACATTCTGCTAACAAGGAAGAAATTCCTTAAATAGCCAAGACGGACAGACACGAGTGAGTCGTAGCTTATTCGTAAAATACAGAGCCTGCGCCCCATGTATAAAACCAGACCTGCTTCTGTAGTGGCTCAGCCATGGATCGATGGGTCTTCCTGGAGGAATTGGTATCAGAACGGCACATTCATCTCATACCTGGAATAAAAAAAGACCTCACATAACAGGACAGGTACAGAACACTCACCATTCTGACACAGGATGAGTTAGAGGAACATGGGGGCTGCCAATCCTGACCTCCTCCTGGAAATGCTGCTCACCTGGCTTTCCCTTCAACACTAAGTATGGAGCAAGCAAAGTCAGAGTAAAGTCACAACTCCTAATACATTGTACATGTTTCGGGTATGTGAAGACACTGGATCAACATGACAGCAAGCAAATGGCTTTTTCAGAGCGGCTAGTAATGGAAGACTCCATATTTCCTCAGTACAGGTTTCCTTTCAAACTTTCAAAAAAAAAAAAAACCCCTCCCTGAACTTCCGACCATTTCTACTCAGACAGCTGGAGTTTTATGAAGTGACCCGTTTATGAGAATTAGTAGGACAGTTCTCCAGAGCACACAGTTATAACAGTAGAACACAGTCTGCAGTACATAAATATAGGTTTGTCTGGTTTTGAACTGAACAATACAGATTATATAACCTGGTTCTTTCATTGCTATGCAAAATGTGGGTACTCTAAACACTGTTCCCACCTTCCAAGCCCACTCCGACTGGTGCATTTGCAGGTCATGACTCTCATTGTTGGCAACCAGGTCTAACTCTGGGCTGAAAGTGGCTCTTGTGGGAATACATTCTGCAAATATTGATTGGAAGCTTCATTCACAAGCACATGATTACAATGTATTTTGTATGCTTATGTGTAGACCAAAATAATTTCCTTTAGTCTGTGTAAAATGTCAGTTCCATCAAACCTGCAAGTTTTATTTTCCATTTAACCCATAACATCCTCTCTCTCCTTTTCTATATAGATTTTTGTTTGCCTTTTTTAGTGTACATTTTTAATAAAAAGAGTTTAAAAAGGAGCCTTAAACTCATTTGTAAATATGTTTACCAGGCTTTATACTACAAATATAATTCTATTGTTGTTATAAATGGGCCAAACTGCAGAATAGGATTTACACAAGAGAAAGAGTGCCTAAAGGTGCCCATTCGCTGGCCGAAATTCGACATGCTGTTTGTGTTGATGGAGGAATTGCGTCAATATTTTTCATTCAGCCCGCAGGTTGGGAACAAAATTGATAGATGTGTGGCCACCGTTAGATTTTAGAAAAAATGTTGCTAATCATAATGTGAATGAAAACCTTCCTCTGATTTACCAAGCTTATATGCTCATTTATGACTTAACTCCTCTAGTTTGACCATGCCTAGTTTAGCTATTCCACACCCATTTTTCATGGGTGTGGCTATGCTTTACACACTGATCTCCCTCTCAAAAAAAAAAAAACACTTAATTTTTCCATAGGGCATAAGGTGTTAATATGGATGCCTACATGTAGAGCCTCTCGTCCCCACTGCCTGCACCTAGCACAAGGGTAGGCAACCTTGGCACCCTAGCGGTGTGTGAAACAGCAAATCCCATCATATCTCTGGGAGTTATGACTGTGGCTGTCAGAGTCTTTCAATGCCTCATGGGACATGTAGTTCCACAACTGCTGGAGTGACGAGGTTGCCTACCCCTGGCCTAGCACGTCCTTAATGGAGTTGTGGCACTGCTGTGCTGAACCCTGATATGGACAACAGAACAATAGCAGTGACTTTAGACACAACTTTCCACCTTCATCTTAATACAATGTGGCCTTACTAAAAAAAATTTATACAATTCACAGCAACCAAAAATGGGGGACACCTCATGCCAGGGACTCAACACCCCACCCTTCCAGGGGTTGCCAACCACTCTCATCTTTCACTCTTGTCCTCCAAAGCAAACCTCAGGTGAGCTCATATGACCTTCTCATCACAAGAGTCCTCCCAACACTTGCAAGATAAAAGCTGCTTACGTCATATCCAGTTTCTTCAGGCATCCTCTGGAATGGCACACCTTGCTGGCTGACAGAGTGGGGGTGGCCACAGAGGGGACAATAGGATGCAGTTGCCCAGCCTGAACATATATTGTAATATGGGAAGCAGGGACTCTTGCTAAAGTGTCTCTGTCATTATAAGAAAACTTACCTTCCCTGCTGCTCACACCAATGCTGAGATTTGTATGGAGCACGGAGCGATCCCCCTTCAAATGTTGCAATCTCAGTTATGTTAACAATTTTATTTCTTAATGGCACCTCAACATACCTATCCATCGCATTTGTGTTGTATCACATCACATGGTAACCCATTACCATGCAATGTGGTGTTTTGTGATTTTAAAAAAAAAAAAGGCGCATGCACTTTTTCAGTGCGATTTAGGTGCAGCAGGCAGCCAATTCAAAAGAATGCTCTGCCCTACTACAGTGCACTACAGTGCACCACACAGCACCTCTGTGATGCTGCAATAAAAGAGGGACGCATGAATAGGGACTAAAGCAGTAGAGAATCACCATAGCTATTTATATTTTAGTTCATTTCCTCAGCAGAGTTTTAGAATTATTGCAGCTGTATAAAGTAATCTTTGGACTGGTAACATTTCAGTGTGTAAAAACAAGCCGTTTACCATGGAATGGGATAAGATTACGCTTGTTTGTAAGGACTGCTGTGTACATTTAATAATCTTTAGGCGCCACTTAGTGCTTATTAACAGAATTGCATCTCGGAGTACAGAATGAAAATATTACATACCGTATTTGTTTTATGAAAAGGGGCTAATCAAGTTTTTATTCAGGAATTTTGGTCTAAATAAAAATGTTCACATAGCAGAGATGGTTACATCTCCAAAAGATGATGGCACTCACACCCAGGCTAGCTTTCCCTGTGTTCAGAAGAAGAAGCTTTCGCTGTGGTCAACGAGGATCTGGCTTACACCCCATGCTTCCATTTGTAGCTGCTATTAATCCCAGTGCTCTTTATTTATTAACATGATCATTTTTGCCACTGGAAACATTTAGACAAAGTGGAAACTTTTTTGTGTTCGGTGTGCTGCTTGGGTAGAATTTTCTTGGGAGAAAGAATTTACTTTTTCATTTTATAGGCAGTTGTGGTTTAAGGGGGGGTGCGGGTGTTAAGTATTTACATTTTTTAATTTAGCATTCTTTGTATTTTTTTTCATGTTTTGTGTGTATTTGATTATTTGTCAACATTTTTTTTATCTTACTTTTTACTGTCTGTTTCTAGGTCTATAAAAACAATCGAATAATAGGGCTAATGAGGGACCTTTTGGCATAAGAACAGAAACCATTTAAAGTGCACCTGTGCCTTTAACTTTGGACATATTTTGGACCTGTGCCTGGACTTTGGACATATTCTTAACAAGCAGCAAAGAAACCTTAAAACAAGTCATCCCTGACCTCTCTAGCTGCATGTAGTGTGAAGTAATTCAGAGATGCCAAAGTCTGGTTTTAGACGGGAGGAGACGGGGGACTGAGCTGCATGAGACGGGGCGGAGACAGAGTGAGATCGAGGCTGCGATGAAGAGACGGGGACGGAGCTGCATGAGACAGGGGGCGGAGACAGAGTGAGATCGAGGCTGCGATGAAGAGACGGGGACGGAGCGGCATGAGAGGAAGTAAGTGGAAGTCTGTTGTAACTGGTATGTTGACAATGCAAAGGTATGATGAGGGTGGAAAACTGACATAACTACACTCACAATTCTAGTCTCATACTGGATGTATGGGAGCTGAGCATTCCCAAAAGGGTTGCCAAAAAGTATTAAACAGGAAGGGGTGGGGTAAATTTAGTGGGGGTGCCCGAGTTTTGCCTTGCCTAGGGCAGCCCCAATACACCACTGCGTTCAGGGACCACCAATTGAAATAGATCCGACTGACCCGGATCGCCTTGGTATGCGATCCGGGCCAGTCACAATTAGGCAGCGGCAGCCAATAAACAGGTAGGTTAGACGGCTGCTTCCTCCTCGCTAGGACCCCGGGAGGCCCCTGCAAGCGGCCGTCTAATCTGCCAGTTTAGAGGTCAGCGCCGCTGCCTGATTGTGACCGGCCAGACTACAGAGGCGATCCGGGACGTTCGGGTCCCCCGTGAGAACCGTACAAGTCCTATACAACCGGCCCTTTGAGGGTAACCATACTGCTGATGCGGCCCCCGATGAATTTGAGTTTGCCACCCCTGCATTAGAGGGATGGCAGGCTGCCAAAATTTTGCTTCCATAGAAATTGTGAACTTTGAAGATGAATTTCTCCACAATGTCCATACCTACGGAGATGAATGAAAACTTGTTTAAAGTGCTTTTACTGCTTCTCCAGAATATGTATTTAATGGCATAGTCTGGACACAGGTTCACTTTAAAGCCTTTTGCGAAAATGGCAAAATTCCACAAAAATCTCACAATTTTTGACCATATTGCAGGGAAATTAAAACTGTCAATTTTACTCATTCCCAGAACCAAGGCACTCACAGTTTTTTCAAACTTATACAAGTCTAGGGGTATCAAAACAGCTCATCAGCAGTGTTACATTTAATACCATGCTTTGTTCAGTTAATCTGACCCCGACCATACGCCTGATGTTAAAAAAATTTTTTTTTTTTAAAACAGCAATGTTCTTTACAATGTGCTTAGTGCTCCAATGGCTTCTAGACTCCTGTATAAAGGAAGAAAAAAAATTGCAGAAAAGCCCAGTCATGTGACCGGCTTCAAATCATGGAGTTCTGCCTATTTCCTTATCCAGACAGAACTATGTTGGACACCGCAGGCTCCACACCACAGTCTGTATTTTATGAATGTGACCAACAATGTGTTATATAGTCAAGGGCGGATAGTGATATCCATTTTCTGTTATAATTTAGGTCTTCCTATTTATGGAAGCTGATCCAGAGAATGT